ATAAATTCTTTTCCATGTTTTAGTCTTCAGTTTTAGCTGTGACAAAAGAACCTTTGGATACGTGGTAGCTAGATTGATCCTATTCCCCATATCATAAGAGAGTAATGCGTGAGATAGAAGATTTACATGTGACACAGGGAACATAACAGCAACTGGCTAGAGGACCATGCCTGGATGCTTGCTATGTTTAGTTCGGTTCCTCTCATTAGTGTGAATTGGTTTTTTTTCCCCCATAATTATTGCTTCTTGTTATACTGCATTTGTAGGTAGCAATGCTTTTCAAAGAAGAATTAATTGGTCGAATATTGCATGGTTTCCATATGCCTGTACCTTGTGTGCGTAATATTTGATGTGGCAAATAGAAAACTCATGCATGTCTGAGGTAATTATGTGGATGTAGTTTTATGAGGCTTGAAAAGGCATCATAATGTGCACTATTGAAGGAATCTTCTAAATTATAATCTAGCGATTTATTGCCCCCTAGCTAATTAGTAGTGTGCTTATAATCTCACCCATAGTTATTCAGAGTTATAAATATTTCAGAATGTGGTCACAATGTGGTGCCGCTAATAGGTGAGTCTTATTTTGGGTGTATGCGTAAAGCTCTTTCACGAGAACATCACATATGGTACAAGTTTTCACTGCCTTCAATGTCAAAATCAATCCATCCAAGACAACGTTTCCTGGTATGCTTTCTAGTAGCTAGATTGATCCTAATCCTATGCAAGAAAATCTTGAGGAATGGAAGATCTATTTATAGCTATTCGTTATGAAGGACGAAGCTTAATTAGTCACTGATTGTCTCAACTACGATTTCCATTCACTTCACATTCATCGTGAATCAACCATCAAATTTGCAGTTAGCAATTCGAACGTAACTATTATTTTTTTTTAAAATATTATTTCTGATTTTTAATATAAGAGCTAATTTAACTTTTAATTTGATCATAAATATAATATCTCAGTCTATTTTATCTTTCATATTTATTTATTTATTTAAAGTAGCCTTTATAATAGTTGCACATATTAAAAAGTTTCATCAAATATTAAAGCAAATATATACATTTGGTTAGTAAGGGTATTTTATAAAAGACAATACATAGTTATTACAAATAACCAACTTAACAAACCTCCTTAATATACTTGAATTAATCAATTTTTATATTAAGGATAGGAGATAGTATATATTAATCTTATCCATTTACTGCAAATCCAACGATCTAGATCTACAGTGAAATTAAAATGGTGTGTTGGGGGAAAGTGCTGCAGGGAAAAACTTTTTTGTTGATACTATTCTAGGACCATAAAGCAACAACGAGCGATGAGAACGTGATAATCGGATGTACCTCTAACGCACTATTTTGATAGTTTCTAATAATTGCCTTTGTCTTATTGCCAGCTGGTTTACAAAAGTGATATCCTTTGGATATTGCTTCGTTCATCAATTCCCAGAGGCCACAAGTTTTGCCCTTGCTGGGCGCGTATGCGGGAAGTAGATAATGCATATGGCGAATAAGTTGAGGAATTCTTAGGTACTGGGTACCAGCTCACCTGTACACTAACCGATAAAAACATACCATTTGGACAAATTTAAACCTACAAAGCAGCTTGTGTGTGAATTTTCAGATTTATAATATTTTAATAATTTTTTTAAAAAGCTCCTTTTTTTTTAATTTTCCAACTCTCTTTTTGATGCATCTTTTTACTCATTTTCTTTCTTTCTCTTATTATCCTCAACAACAAAGCAAGGCCTGAGACTTTTGGCTTTCATCTGGCCTCCTGCAATATTCATTGGTTTGCAAGCAGTCACGCTGAAAGGGGGAAAACCACTTAATACTGTAATAGATGGGCCTTCACAACCAAAAACACTCAAGCATATACAAGATACTTTGGGTGTGAGAAAAGAGAAAAGAAAGAAGATGGGTTTGAGGAAGAAAATGATGGTGAAAGTGTGTGATGAAGTGCTATTCCCGACCGCACAAGCCAGGTTAGACTGGAAATTGGCCAACGATCACCTGACCGGTCCAGTCAGTCATAAAAACTGGCAGGTGGGTCGACTGATATGACCGGTTACTAGGGATGACAATAGGCTATGTGGCTTGTCAGGGGCTTATGGCTTGACCTGTTTTCCAAAAGAAGAAGGTTCATGCCCGTTTAAAGGCCTGTTTAACTAAACAGGCCAGGTCTAGGTTCTTTAAAAAGCCTGTTAAGCCTGATAGACCAGCCTGGATCTGTTAAAAATTTAATTATAATATATGAAAAAATTAGTTAATGATATTATTGTTAATGTGCTCTTTTAATTTATTTTTTAATTTTAATATATAGTTAATAACTTAATTCTTCTTTAGATTTTAAAGTTTAGTTGACAAGTGAAGATAAAAATATAATTTAAAATAATGATATCAATAAATAATGTGATCTTTAAATCTTAAAAATATAAATAAAATAGGAAAGAGAAATTTTGTTCCAAGTATAAATTAATTAACTTATGTATTATGTTAATTAAGTTATGATACCTTCTTTATTCATTGTAAAATTAATAGTTTTTTCCTCTTTATTTATTTGTCTTAATTTTAATTTTTAGTGTGTACTTAAACGTAGTCTTGTTCCAAATTTTAACATACAATTACAATTAGTTTTCAATTAGTCTTGTTCCTTGTAAACTGTAATTAAGATTTAAAATAGTACTTATGATACTAAAATTTAAATAAAAGACAATACTAAAAATTAACTATTATGTAAGCTTTTTTTTTTTTAAAAACATAACTATAATTTAAATTTTTTAAAAATATAGGCTTTTTAACAGGCCAAGCCTTTACACAAGCCAGACTCAGGCTGAAAAATAAGCTTGTAACAGGCTACAAGCCAGGATCAGGCCAATAGGCTACAAAATAGGCCTGACCTGTTAAGAGCAAGGTTTGGCCTAACCTGACCTGTTTCCATCCTTACCCGTTGCAACTCAGGAGAAACCCAGTTAACCGGACCGGTTTGGTGGGTTAACCAAGTTGTGTGTGTGTTTTTTTAAGTTATTTTAATGCTAAAAATATTACTCCTCTGGTCCTCTTTATAAGTAGAGGTGAAAATAGGCCAGGCAGCCTGTCAAGGGCCTGTGACATGGCCTATAAATGGCCTGACCTGGCCTATTTAGATGTCAGAACAGGCTTAGGCCTGTAAAAAGGCCTGTTTGCTTTATCAGGTCAGGCTCAAGCCTGATAATAAGCCTGTTAGGTTTGTCAGATGGCCTGGACCTGTGATCCTTTTTTTCTTTTGAGGTTAAAATTATAAATGGACAGGAGGGAATCTGTTATTCTGATTGGTTAATTGAGAAAACTCCACCCACATAAATGTGTTATCCAGAGCTCATTGTATGCTTCATTTCATTTCCATTCTCTATAATAAAAATAATTGATGTATGTATAATAACACATATTGGAACAGAGAAAGAAAACACAAGTGCATTAAAAAAAATAAAAGCATCATTCATTTATTTGATCCATGCTTTTCATATTAATTTTATATAAAATATATAATTGACCTATTATGTTATATATATATATATATATATATATAATTGACCTATTATGCTTTAGACTGTATTATATAATAGATCCTGCAGGGCACAAGTTCGCAATTGAAATATGCATATTCGCTTCTTTTTTATTTATTGAACTTTTTCTTCACATTTGTGTCGCTGACGTGTCAATTAGATCCAGTAGGATGACGCCATCTCATGTTAAACACGTATCAATTGGCTGCTAATGGAATTACATAGCTCCAAAATCATTTTGGTAACGGACATCTGTTTTTTAATTTGTTAGGCCGAATACAAGGAAAAGTCTTCAAATGCTGCCAGAAAATAAGTTAATAAATTAGTCTTTGCAAAATGAATTAATAGTCAATGATGTGTGTGTAATGTGTATTAATTATTTAGATAAAATTGCATATATACAGTCTCTATATATGTGTGCTCAATTTAATTCTTATTATAACAGTTACTTAATTAATTTAAATAAATTATAATAAATGTAACATATTTTTTTTTAAAACAACCATGTGTAACAACAGGATCAACTATTAATTTGTTAGTAAATTAGTTTGAACAAATGACAAATTTAAAATATAAAGGGGATTAAGGATGTCTAATATTTTAAACTAGATCTAGTCATCAACTAATTTTTATACTAGAGATGGGATGAAGTGATATTTTTATACCAGAATAAAATTATATTTTCTAATAATTTTTCATATTTGATTTTTGGGAAAATGACAATAAAATACCACTTCAATTCCAAAAGGACAAATAAGGGACCTGAATAAGCAAAATGACAAATAGGGCACTGGGTACCAATTTGGAATTCATATTTTCGGTGAAAAGACTGAAATGCCCTTATCAGTGAGGTAAAATGAAGTGAAACTGAAATGAAAATAAAGATGGAGCAGAGCACCGGTTGAGCTGATTTAATAAAGAAGGAAAGAGAAACACTGGAAGAACACATCAGAGCTGAAAAGAGGTGAGTTTAAGTTGGTAGTCTTTGGAAATGGTATAATCTTACTCCTCCGCATCATAATTTTTTTGGGATTGCTGATTTAATAGATTTTGGTTGTGGGCGAGAGGTTTTGTAGCAAGAGAGAGAGTAAACATGTCGCATTAACTGATGGTGGGGTTTGGGTAGTTCCTTTTTGTGTCTGCTTTATGGCGCAATGGTGGGGACGGGTGTGCTGGAGATGAGGTTTTATACTTTATATTGACTATTTCGAATGACGTAGCGGAAATCAAGAAAGGTGGCAAGCAATTACGTAGGCGTGAAGTTTGCGTTCAAGTGGTGAACGTTGTTAAAATCAATAATGGAGTTGTGAAACCCTATAATAAAGTTGCGAATAGAAGAAAAGTTTCTCTCTTTGTGTGTGTTTTGGGTGTCACGTACGTTGATGGAAACTAATTGGCGGAGAAGTTAATTTTTTTATATTTAATGTTGTTTGCTGCAGGTTAGCAAGTGGTGATGTCTTGTAACATTGTATCAACATCTTCAAAAAGACTTGCTTGTTATTTTCACGTAGATGGGAAGTTTGTGGAAAAGGACAATGGCGAAGTTAAATACTGTGGTGGGACTGTCAGAGTAAGAGTAATAAATGAGGGTACAAAACTTGAAGATTTGAGGGCAATGATAGGCGAATGGTTCAGCATGGATTGTCATGGCTGTGATATTAAATACACTTTGAGTTTTGATGAGAGGGTATTGGTAGATCTTATAGATGATGGTGAAGTTGATAATCTATTTGAATATAATGACCGTAATGCACATATTTATATAGCACATAAAGGTAATGACAATGTGGAGGAAGGAATGGGTTATCCAGAAATGTAAGTGAGAAATTTTTTTTTGGTGGTTATGAAAGTTGATAATTGTTGTAATGTTGTAGTAAATCTCTTAACAACAGTGGTAATTATAAATGCAGGATCTCAAGAATGGAAGGACTGTCAGAACAGAGTGATGAGCCTACGTTGGAGGGAAATGCTTTGGAAAGTACAAGTTCTGGAGGCAGTGAAAGACCTAATGTAAGCCTACCATACGGAGTAGTGAGTGCACCTACACCTTTGCCGGAGATGAATTCTTTGAAATGGAAGGAATTGTTGTTAGGACGGAACCAAACTTTTGCAAATGCAGAAGATTTCAAGAAGAAAGTACATAAGTTCAGTATTGCAAACAAGTTTGAGTACAAGTATGTGAAAAATTGTAGGGGAAAAATGTATGTGAAATGTAGTGTTGAAGGTTGTCCGTGGAGGATAAGTGCAAGAGTGGGCAGAAAGAGTACTCCCTTTTTACGTGTGGCAACATTCATAAATGAGCATGTCCATAATGCACAAGACAATCTTTGTGTGGAACATTGTGGTTCAGCTAGCTTGACAGCATCAATCATCAGAGATGAGGTAAATGATCACATAGACAGGCGTCCAAATGATATAAGGAAGACTTTAGAAAGAGATTATGGTATGAAGTTGACATATAAACAAGCATACAGGGCAAAGCAAAAAGCTTTAGAGGACATACATGGCAGGCCTGACCAGTCTTATATGCTTATTCCGTGGATATGTGAACGGTTGAAGGAAACAGATAACAAAACCGTGGCCAAATGGGTGGCTAATACTAATAACACATTTGAGCGTGCATTCATAGCATATGGGTGTTGTATAGAAGGCTTTATAGCTGGTGCTAGACATGTACTGTACATTGATGGATGTCATTTAAGTGGACCGTATAAGGGGACGTTACTGTCGGCGTCTGCTTATGATGCTGACAACGAATTGTTACCTTTTGCGATTGCTGTTGTAAAGGGAGAGACACTTGAGGATTGGACATGGTTCTTATATATGATTAAGGAGATAGTTGGCTCGATGGAATTGACAATTGTGTCAGATCGACACAATGCAATAATAGGCGCCGTGCAAGCAATATTTGGTGGTGAGAGGCATGCATACTGTTACAGACATGTTAAGGAAAACTTCAGTGCACAAATGATTAAATTAAATAGAGGAAAGAGGAAGACTAGTGGGAAAGCAAGGGAGGAGGGACTGCAATACCTGGATGCCATTGCATATGCAAGGCTTGACACCGAGTTTGATGGTGCAATGGATAACATGAGAAAGTTCAATCCACAATTATTTGAGTGGCTTCTTAATCATGGTGATGTTGAAAGGTGGGCCTTAAGTAAATTCCCATTTAAACGGTGGGATAACATCACAACAAACCTTGCTGAGTCATTCAATGCTTGGATGTTGAAAGAGAGACGATATAATGTTGCCCAACTTATACATGAGCATCGTGAGAAAGTGGCAAAGAAGATGTATGCAGCAAGCATAGCAATGAGTAATTGGAAAAATGGTGTAGGCCCAAACATAGATGCAAAATTGGTGGACAATGTTGCTAGATCAGCATGCATGCTGAGTGTACCTTATGGAGGAGGTAGGGTGTGTGTCCATACAGCAAAAGGAGCTGTACATGTTGATCTTGGTCTAGGCGAATGCACCTGTGCAGCTTGGCAAATGTCAGGCATTCCATGTCCCCATGCCTGTGCAGCGATTAAGGCTGTGAATTGCAATGTCTATGATTTTGTTGATGAATGCTACAAGATTACATCACAGCAAAAGATTTATGGCAGGAGTATGATTCCAGTGGCGACAGTAGACATGCCAAATCCTAACAATTACTGGGTGGAAAATATAGGAAGTCAAGTGTTCTTGGCACCGCCTTTGACTAATCGACCGCCAGGAAGGCCTAAAGTAAAAAGACGAGAGTCACAGTTCAGAATAGGAAGATCTACCATTGTAGCACATGCAAACAAGTTGGGCACACAAGAAGAACGTGCAAGAATCCAAACCCAAGTTGAACTTAGATGTCAATAGATATGGTGATTTTTTGGTGTAAATAGTGTTGCGTGAATGGTAAATCCCATTGCACGTGTAGTGTAGTTAGTATGAAAGTTATGGTTCAATGTTTACCGTGCTGTACTTGAGGTGCAGACATTTGAATATATGTAATGCATCTGCTGTCATATTGCTGCTGGTTTTTGGTAAATACTGTTGGGTGAATGGTAAATCCCATTGCACGTGTAGTTAGTATGAAAGTTAATGGTTCAATCATGTCATAAATACTGTATCAGCTGTCATATTGCTACTGTTTTTTGATAAATAGTGTTGCGTGAATGGTAAATCCCATTGCACGTGTAGTGTAGTTAGTATGAAAGTTATGGTTCAATGTTTACCGTGCTGTACTTGAGGTGCAGTCATTTGAATATATGCAATGCATCTGCTGTCATATTGCTGCTGGTTTTTGGTAAATACTGTTGCGTGAATGGTAAATCCCATTGCACGTGTAGTTAGTGTAGCTACTATGAAAGTAAACGGTTCATGTTTATCGTGATGTACTTGAGGTGCAGTGATTTGAATATATGTAATGTATCTGCTGTCATATTGCTGCATTGTATTGTTCATGGCAGAAAATCTGCCCAGCCCGGCAAGAGGGTGCAAAACCCAGTATAAAAGTAGTAAATACCACTGAAAGAGTTGTAAATCCCTCCGTGTGTTTTGCAAAATTGACCTCCGACCTTTACCGTTTTGAGACCAAAGTTGCGCAGGCCAATTTTTTTGGGATGCAAAACCCACTGTAAAAGTAGTAAATCTCAGTTGGAGAGTTGTAAATCCCTCCGTGTGTTTTGCAAAATTGACCTCCGACCTTTACCGTTTTGACACCAAAGTTGCGCAGGCCAATTTTTTTGGGATGCAAAACCCACTGTAAAAGTTGTAAATCTCAGTTGGAGAGTTGTAAATCCCTCCGTGTGTTTTGCAAAATTGACCTCCGACCTTTACCGTTTTGACACCAAAGTTGCGCAGGCCAATTTTTTTAGGGATGCAAAACCCACTGTAAAAGTTGTAAATCTCAGTTGGAGAGTTGTAAATCCCTCCGTGTGTTTTGCAAAATTGACCTCCGACCTTTACCGTTTTGACACCAAAGTTGCGCAGGCCAATTTTTTTGGGATGCAAAACCCACTGTAAAAGTAGTAAATCTCAGTTGGAGAGTTGTAAATCCCTCCGTGTGTTTTGCAAAATTGACCTCCGACCTTTACCGTTTTGACACCAAAGTTGCGCAGGCCAATTTTTTTAGGGATGCAAAACCCACTGTAAAAGTTGTAAATCTCAGTTGGAGAGTTGTAAATCCCTCCGTGTGTTTTGCAAAATTGACCTCCGACCTTTACCGTTTTGACACCAAAGTTGCGCAGGCCAATTTTTTTAGGGATGCAAAACCCACTGTAAAAGTTGTAAATCTCAGTTGGAGAGTTGTAAATCCCTCCGTGTGTTTTGCAAAATTCACGTCCGACCTTAACCCTTTTGAGACCAAAGTTGCGCAGGCCAATTTTTTTGGGATGCTAAACCCACTGTAAAAGTTGTAAATCTCAGTTGGAGAGTTGTAAATCCCTCCGTGTGTTTTGCAAAATTCACCTCCGACTTTTACCGTTTTAGGACGAAGTAGCACAGCCCAGTAAATTCGCTTCTGCAGTTGTAATCTCGTCACATGTGTTGTAACAAATTGGGAAAATGGTTTAACATTACTTGAAAATGAGTTGCCTTTACAATCCCTGAAAACAGTTTGCAAATTCCCTTACATACATGACATTAACTAACACATCACTAAACTTAGACAGCGTCATTTACTGCCGTGATGCACGCTGCTTTTTCCTCGGTGTGGGTTCTGGGGATGACAGCAAGTTTAGTGCTTCTTCACGTCTTGAATTGAGCTCATGATTAACAAGCCACCACATTAGGTTTCGTCGGAAATCAGCAACATGTTCTTGACCGTAGTCAAGCGTCACACCGGGCTCCCATTTGCTCAACCATATTAAAACATGAACGCCACAGTCTCGCCTGCACATGGCAACAATGTCCATGAGTGAAACACGAAGTAGCATTCATACATTATTACATCAACAACTAATACCACTCACAGATTGTTCTGTTGAGGAACAGGGGCCCAAATAATGTCACTCATCTGCTTCTTTCCAATGGTATTGGGCTTTACTATCTCAATCATGTCATAAAATCGATCCCTCTGCACAACACATACTTGCATTTGTAAATAATTTGGTAAACAAAGAGCATGCTACACAAGAACAGTAACAATAGTCTTACACATCCGGTCACCACAGTCATCATATCATCATCAGCTGCACCTTTCTTCTTACTCTTCTTAGCAGGGAAACTTGGCTTCATTGAGTCCAGCACATAGAAATTCATTGTCTTAGGCTCAAGCACAAGACAAAACCAGTGAGCACCAACAAGTGTAGGTCCAAATATCAAGTCACAGTCTCCTATGTTGTAACCGACATATTCAGGCAGCAACTGCTTTTCTCGTTTTCTAGCATCCCACCGAGATGGGTTCGCAGCTAGTATTGCCTGCAGCATCAAATGATTAGTCATGTAGCAGTAATTATTTTGTATTAATCTTAGTAACCTTACCATAAAGTCAGCATCAAATATGTGTCGCTTGACTTCTCCTTCGCTCTTCATATCAGCCAGTAAAGTCTTGCACACAACTGACATAAGCTGTTTGCAAGTAAATTTTAGTTTTTTGCACAGGTATACATGAGCATCAAATATAAATTTATAGTACTCAGCCGAAGATCACAATACTAACTTACCCGGTTACCTATTCTCTCAATTCCTCCAAGTGTCCTTAGCTGATCTCGAGTGATATCCTCATCAGATATTTGAACTAAAGTCCTAAAAATGTGTTCCCAGTATCATTATGTGTGTAGTTAATTAGTAAACAACCGATAAGTAATATCATTCACAGTCATGCGAATAGTAACTTACACGTCACCATCCTGCCTTGAACACATGCGGGATATCATGTTAAAAAACTTTTCCTTTTCCTCCATATTCCTCTTCTTCCTCTTCACAGGCATCGTCAAAATCCATGGAGAATTTATGGCCGACTTCACCTCCCTCTGTGATCTCCTGGGCTGTGCATTCTTGTCCATGGGGGAAACATCAGGGGAATCCATATCTCCTGCTTGTATTCCTTCTTCCTCAACATCAACCATGTCAGCCTCGTCCGAGTCATCTCCATGATGAGGTATGTGTCCTGAGTCCTGTCCATCATCATCATCTCCCTCATTTTCATCATCACCATCATCAGCTTCATCTTCTCCCTTATATTCAGCTCCAACTTCACTAGGGCCCTCATCTCCCACAGTACGATTTTCCTCCATCGTTATGTGCACCTTATGTAGCTCATCCTCTACTGCACTAACAAGTCTCTTGTAGCTTAAATCAATTACAGCCATCAACTTTCGATGTAAGCTTTGCAACTCCTGCATCACATCATTAAAAAAAGGTCAAACACTTTATCTTTTTAATGCACATTGAAATTACGAAGCAAATAAACACACCGGGTGTAAGTCAGCGACACTTCTCCTTCTTCTCTCCTCATCTCCAACCCTAACTTTCGAGCCCTTCTGCTTATACAATAGGCCTCTGTTGCTCCGCCTTTCCTTCTTTGTCATCTCCTTTATCCTCTCATCAGTCCAGAATTGAATAGCACTTATTGACCCATCTCTAACAGATTTAGATAATGGGAAGCGCTCAGCAAGATATAACTGCAACATCAAATTATTAATTTTATCATCACTCCATTCAAACATAGAACAAAAAACAATGGTAGTAAATACATACCAATAAGAGGTAGATGCATCCTCCGACGTTGCAACTCCCTTCATCATTGTCTTCCCCTACGTTTCTATACACTTCAACATAATCTTCCATCTCTTTCCACAAGTTGTTCACAATGTATGTGGCCCAATCAAATTGGTGAAATTCATGCATAGTACAACACATCACCCTCACTAGCTTGTCACTGACTGTTGTTTGTGAGGTAGGAGCTAGAAAACTCCCAAGTGTGTACAGCATGAACAAGAACTCGAAATTCTCCTCATTCTCCCCAGATTTAATGTCTTTGAGTATCTTGGTAAAAGAGACTTTACCATATTCATTCTTCAACCTCTTGTATGTTTCATCATCATCATCCACATCCGTTCTTACCTTTTCCCCTGTGTGGGGTACCTCCAACAACTCCGCAACATCTTGTGCATCAATTTCCTTGATCTTCCCCCTTATTGTAAATTGATGAGTAGGCGGATCATATGCTCGAAGAATGCGTACTATGAGGTCACGAGGGAGTCTCTCACATCCCATGTCAAGCAAACTTGCAAATCCCAAACTTTGTACCTTGGCTTTCAATCTGTCATTGCTATTTATAAATTCCACCAATGACTTGTACTGCCGGACTGAGCAACGAGTGCTAAAAGCAACTTTTTTCATCCGCTTCTTCTTCGTCCCTTGCTTCTTTGGTTTGTTCACTTTATCATTATACTTCTTCCTCTCCTCTGGTGGCAGCTCCCTCCATGCCTTTGCTCCCTCCCTAACTTCTTCTCTCCTATTCCTAAACTCTTTGCCCGCCTTAAATTCATGCAGAAACAGCATGTACCCACTCTTCACTTGTCCACTTCCCTCTCCTTGTCCTTCTACTTGTACTTGTAACTCCATTTTCCCTGCTGCAATGACACCACTTGTTAGTCATTCATAGTACTATATTTCTTTCACAACAATGTCGTCAATTCCATCAACAAATGTGGTCAATTACACTAACAAATATAGTAAATTTTATTAACATATCATCAAAATACCATTGTCCACTCAATTAACAAGTGTAGTCAAGTCCACTAACAAATGTAGTAAATATCATTAACATATCACCTACAAAACCATTGCACAGTCAAATGACTTTGCATCACGACGATGTTGTTATTCCTGTAACAAATCTGGTCACTTTCATTGACTAATGTAGTAAA